TGGCTAACATGGTGAAACCCCGTCTCTACTAAAAATACAGAAAATTAGCTAGGCGTGGTGGCAGACGCCTGTAGTCCCAGCTACTAGGGAGCCTGAAGGAAGGAGAATGGCGTGAACGTGGGAGGCGGAGCTTGCAGTGAACAGAGATAGCGCCACTGCACTCCAGCCTGGGTGACAGAGCAAGACTCCGTCTCAAAATAAATAAATAAATAAAATTTACCATTTTAACCATTTTTCGGTGGCAATAAGTGTATTCACATGGTTGTGCGACCATCTCCAGAACTTTTTTGTTATACTTGGCACTTAAATTTGTGCCTCTATTATGGAGCACAGTGCTTTCTGCCATGTAGTATATATGGCACTTGTGTACACACCTTATCTCTCCTATGTTGTAAGCTCATTTATGGCAAGATCTATGTTGAACTCATTTTTGTAATTCCTATTCCTCCAAAACCCTTGGAAGTCATCTTTAATTCCTTTCTCTCATATCCCACATCCAATCCATCAGCAAATCTTGTCATCTCTATCTTCAGAATGAATCCAGAATATCACCAATTCTCGACTCCACATTATGACCTTAGTGCATCTCTCTCGGACTGTAATAGCCTTCTCACTGGTCTCCCATTTACATCCTTGCTCCTCTCCAGTCATTTCACACAATGGCCAGAGTTATCCTCATGAAACATGTCAGTTCATGGTCATTTCACTGCTCAGATCCCTTAATTGGCTTCCCATTTCCCTCAAAGTAAAAGCCACAGATTTATAATGACCTACCAAGGCTATCATAGCCACCAAAATGACCACCAATGGTCTTCACCTCTTGCTATTTACACCCCGGGGTAGTTCTCTTCTATAATGAACCAGGGCTGACTGTGTCATCAGTAGTATATGGTAGAAATGATAGCATGTGACTTACAAGACTAGGTCATAAAAGGCATGTGGTATTTGCCTTGCTCCGTTTTTTGATTGGTTGCTGTAGGGGAAGGCAGCTATCATGTCATGAAGATACTCAAACAGCATGTGGAGGCTGGTTTGAGTGAAGTGGTGTTTACAACCAACTGATCACAACTAGTTACAGATTTCTTTCTTCCTTCTCTATTCTCACTGCTTTACTTCACTAGCCTTTTTTAAAAAACAGCAGGTAGGCTGGGCATGGTGGCTCACGCCTCTAATCCCAACACTTTAGGAGGCCGAGGCGGGTGGATCACCTGAGGTCAGGAGTTCAAGACCAGCCTGACCAACATGGCAGCGCCGGCCCGAGGGGAGTGGAGGGGAAAAGAAGAGAGGGGAGGGAGAAGAGGGGAAGGAGGGAAAGCGGAGGAGGGGAAAGCCTACACAAGCTGTACCCACCGCGCCAGGACAGCCGGCCCGAACTGCCCCGCGGCGATCAGCTCGGTCCAAGGGGAGGGTCCCGGAGGAGGCGCGGCCCGAGCCCCAATCTGGAAATGCCAACTCCGCTCTGCGGCCTGGCCCCAGCCTAGGTGAAGGAAACGGAAGTCCCTTCGTCTCCCTCACGCGCCTCCACCGGTCGGCCCATCCGCTGGAGAAACCCGGAGTCGTGAAACCCGAAGTTTGTCCACGTCAGGGCCTCAAAGAGACACCAGGCGCTGTCCGTCAGTCTCCGGGCCCGGGCTGCGCCACTGGGCCCCGGCTGTGTCCTTCCCACCCCCGGCCGGGAGGTCAGCCTCCTGCCCTGCAAAGCCCCTCCTTCTTCCCCCCCCCCTCCGCCATTTTCCAACTTACCACTTGGGCCGGGCGTCCCTCGATGAGCGCCACGCCGGCTCCGGGCACCGCCAAGGTCCCCCCACCTTCCCGAACCGGAAGGGGGCAGTAAGAAAAAATGAGGCCCTTGCAACCCCTAACCCCCCCCCG